ACGCTAACAAGTTCGTCTGTCAAAATAGTCAGACTTAGAGCCCGTTTGGACAAAAAAATTTCCCCCTTTTCTCAAAAAAATTTCCCTTTTTTTTCGAAATCATAAATTTTCAATTTTATGCATTTTGAAAATTTTCGAAAATTTGAAAAACTCCAAAAAGCTATTTTTCAAAATTTTCCTCAAATCACTCGCAAAACTTCAAAACAACCCAAAATTATATTCATGTCCAAACACAACTCTAAATTTCAAATGCGATTTTCACTTGAAAATTTTTTTCACCTTTTTTTTTGAAATTTTACAATTCTTATGTCCAAATGCCCACTTAATTTCACTTTACGCATATCAAGAGAAGACGAACTTTTTTCCTGTTATACCCTCATTATTTATTACTCATTTCAAATCATTTTCTCAAATTCAATAAAATATGCATCAATTAATATGGGTATCATGGTAAATTATGCACTTCATTTATTATTTTTTAAGGAGCGTGTAAAGTCAAAACGTGCAAAATAAAAGTAAACGGAGGGAGTAATTTAAAGTTCGAATTTCCCCCCACTATTTTATTATAATAACAACTTTTCTTAATTAAGCTTGATTAGCGGTCAAAAGACTCAAAACCGAGTAACTGAATATACCAGGTGCGCACCGTTCCTATATATACCTCATCCTCATCAGTGCCAATTGCTCAACTCCAACAATATACTAATAAAAAACACCAACCAAAAGCAGATAACAGAAAAAACCTCTGTTTTTCTTCTGCTTTTTTCAGAAAAAAAAACTGTTGAAATGGGTATTTGTACATCAGCACCATTGATGACAAAATACAGTGGAAGCATGAATTTGCCTATTACAAAAGTAGCCATGTTGATTCAAATGAATGGCCAACTTCAAGAATTCCAACAGCCCATAACCGCCGGCGAGATCCTTGGCCAAAATCCTGATTTCTTCATTTGTAGCTCAGAGGCCATGAATGTTAATTCATTAGTTCCACAATTGGCCAAAGATGAAATTTTGCAACTTGGTCAGCTTTATTTTCTTTTGCCAATTTCGAAATTACACACACCACTTTCTCTTCAAGATATGTGTACACTTGCTGTAAAAGCAAGCACCGCGCTAAATGACTATTGTCATCCGTCTATTACAGTGGCAGAGTCAAGAATTTCAACGAGAAGATTCAAGAAAATGCATGATTGTCACGTTAAGGATTTGAACATGAGACCTAAAGCAGTTTTTGAATTGCCTTTGCCACTACAGTACTAGAAGTTTTTCTTGTAAGGAAATTCAACTATTTATAACTACAAAAAGTTGTTTTAAATGTATTTGTACTGTGTAATTTTCGACAAAGGAGATTATACTGAACTCCTTCATATCATGAAGCTCCGCCAGCCAGGGGCGGATTTATAGTCCAATATATGGGGTACGTGAACTCATGGTCTCTCCGTCAAACTAGGTGTTTTATGTACATATTTTTAAAATTGATCTAATATTATCTGCTAGCATTCATGCTCCAAAGAAGCTAAATGGTGCACTTGGTTGAATGTAGAGTTACATACATAGAGAAGCAAGGATCAATACCCACTTGATACTTATTTTTCTGTCTATCTCTAATGGTGCACCCATATTATAAAAATCCTAAATCCGCCCCTGCCGCCAGCAACACCATAAGTAGTTGTCGTGCTTTGCTGGATTCTTTTAGCTGCAGTCTTCAATGGCTACAGTAGTGGAATGAAGACAATACATTATCAAGTTGGTCATGTCCTACCAGAAGATTTCCTGTCGAGACAGAAAATGGAGTAAAGAAGTTGGAAAATTAAAGTAACTAGTGAAATTGAGAATTTCATGTAAAATGTAAATTGAGGAAATGAAATCTTTATTTGATAATTTTTGGATTTTGGATTTTGGATTTTGCAATTTGCGGCTTAAATAATGGAGTACTAACTAGCATGTAGATCTTTATAATTTGAAATTGAATGGACGCTTGGGATTCTCTTTAGCAATTCTATTTAATGTTCTATCTTTATTACTCCACTCTTTCTATTTTACGTGGCACATTATTATTTGGAAAGCCAAATAGTTTTTCTATTAACCACATCTTTTAATATCTCGTTTTAAATATTTTGAACTACAAAAAGTTGTAATTTCATATTAATTCTTAAATAATATTTAAAAATGTAAATTTTATTTTTTAGAAGATTAAGAAATAGCTATTAATCTGAATTGAGAACAAATATTAAAATATTTGTCTCTTGTACTTCATTAATAGTCTTCGTACTTTTATATATTTATGTGTATGTAGTAACAGATAATGCATGGTGATTTTGGATTTAATACAATTGCAGCGGAAAATCCCAGATATTAAAAGAAAACGAAGTCTGCTTTAAGGCGGAAATTTTCGTTTCTCCAAATCTTAGAGGTAATTTGGCTTGCGAACAAGTTAAATGGAGATTATAATACGAAAATTAAATAATACCGAAAAAAATTGGAAATGGAAGTTTAATTGTTGTTTGTGTTCATATGGCAACCTAGGTTGTTAAACTTTCACAAGTGAAAGCGAGTATAGGGCCATTTCCAATTTGTAAATGACATTTTCAGATGTCCAATTATTACTACTATTGTATAATACGATGATTTTAATGCAAGACTTTAACGTCAATTCATTTATATGAAATCGATTTGTTTGAATTGTTGAGTTGTAGTAAGCTAATGACTCAGACGGGAACTTTAATCTTTTTGACCAGGAATATTTTCAGTAGTTTATAATTTTAATTTACGGGTCTTCTTCAATTTCTCTATTTAAATTGTCACGATCATTGAGGGTCTCACTGCCTCGTGTAGGCCATTGAACTCGAATGGGAATTGAACCTAGTCTTTTTTGGTAGCACATTAATATCACTGTTGAATATAATTCTGCATTTAGAAAATAAAACTGTGTTTTTTTAACCACTCTAAAAAATAATGACGGAAAAATGTATAATTTTTGCATATGTGTTATGCATATAATACACATATTTTAGTATATTTTTTGGCTTGTGAATGCAATTAGTTCGGCAGAGCAACCAATTTTGTATTTTGCTCTTTAGAAAATGACTACCTGGAATTTCAACAGAGCTTGTTTAGTAGCACAATACAAGTGTTGGAGAAAGAATATACCAAATTTAGCAATGAAATAAAAAAAGAAAAATTTAAAGATTACTTTGTAAGAACCGGAAATATTACTATTGGACTGACTGCAAGTAAAGAAAACCAGAACTATATAGTTCAAGTATTGATATAATATAATATAATATAATATAATATTGCCAATTGCCAACAAGAAGGGCCCAACAAATGCAACTGGGAAGAAAATTATGATATCTTGATTTTGTAGAGTAACAACAACAACAATAACAAACCAAATATAATCCAACAAGCGAGTCTGGGGAGAGTAATATGTATGCAGACGTTACGCCTACCTTCAAGAAGGCAGAGAGGCTGTTTCCGAAAAACCCTCGGATTAGGAAAGATAAAAAGAAGGGCATCAACAATCACACCAATTCTAAAACCGAAGAAAAAAATACAAAGATACAAAACTAAAACTGATTTTGTAGAGTAAAACGGAGAGAATTGGAATGAAACTAATAAATCAACCACTCTAATTCCAACTCATTATTTGGGTAGATATCATGTGCTTTGTCTGTAGGAAGTTGCTGTGTTTCTTAAAACTCAATTAATTTCAGGTGGCCAAAACATGAATGTGCTAGAATTCTGCCCCTTCATTTAATTATTAAACATCAACTTGTTTATTAAATGACCATTTTGGATAATAAATAGAACTCTAGCCAAGCAATCCAAGCGTGCGACATTATAGTAATGACCTAAGTTGGCAAATCTACGACAGATCTCTCAACAAACACACAAAACCTTAGCTCACAGCTTGCCATTTATTTTTGCTAAAATTAAAGATCACCAATTATCTTAAATATTTGCAAGATAACATCGTTCGCGAGTAGGAGTGATTTTAAAAGAATAAATAATTTGTCTATACATACAAATAATTTCCATTTTAGAAAAGTCCTAAAGGAAATTAAATACTATGGGATAAGTGTTCTACTGGCTAGTATATACATTATTTAATATCTATGTTCAAGCATTTGGGAAGCAACTCTCCAGTTAGTCTTATTTCGTTAATCGTACAATCAAACAACAATTATGCCTCAATTCAAAATAAGTTAGGGTCGACTATATGAATATCGTGATCTTTTTCTACTATTTTTGGGATTTTGGACTAGATAGCAGCAACAAGTTGATGTTTAGGCCTTGCCCCTACATTCTTCGTGTCAACGCACATGGAATTTTGTGCAAGCAATGTCAGTTTATTACTCCCTTCGATTCAAAATAAGTGATTTTTTTGGATGTTTTCACACAAATTAAGAAATCCACCTTTTAGCATTAATTAGCAATGAAATTGACCATATTAACCTTTACTATCTCACATAAACACTCCTAACACATATTCCAACACCATTTACTTCAAGGACAATATAGAAAAAAAATAATTAATTCATTCTTGAAATCTGGAAAAATCACTTATTTTGGACCACAAGAAAAAGGCCAAAAAATCACTTATTTTGGACCGGAGAGAGTATCATAACTTAACTCGTATGTGCGTTTGAGCTTTGCACGGTATTGGTTCTAAATTTATGTGTGAAAACAATCAAAAAATCAATTAAAGTGGACCGGAGGGAGTAATGTTTTACATTTCCTCCCAAATTAATGTATACCTTGCATTACTTTTTCATTGAGAATATGAATAGCGAGAAGCTGAAAACTAGCAAGTAGGCAAAATGTTACCTAATCACATACTAATAATGGTAATCCAACAATATGCAAACAAATTTTTGGGGCTACACTAAAAATTGTATAGGTGTCCAACGGACATTTATAACCACATATGGATGACCTATTTTCTTCCATTTTGATCCAGATGAGCGTCATGGTTCTTGATTAGGAGCTGTGGCCTGTGGTGGGAATTCTTCAGCATATCTACATACATAAAGAAAAGAGGAAGTTACAGGGTACAATGAGTGTGAGATTTTATTTTCAGATTGAACTTTCTCTAGCTAAGACAAATTACATTGTCAGGCCACAGACTTTCAGCAGAGTTCAAATAAAGTCAAAAAAACAGTGGGATTTACACAAACGCTGAAAATGACTAACATTTTCATCCACAACCATAATTTACATCTGGAGTTGCCACAACTGATTCAAATGGGATCTCAATTCTCTCTTTCACGACGCACCGAGTTTCACCATTTTCAACCACTGGGACTTTTCCTGGAGGGCATTCAACAACCATTGTCGCCTCCCTGTTTGCAAGCTGTTGAAACAAGTTAGAGACCTTGAGCTGATTATCCCGTTTCTTTAGCTGAGGCTCGAATCCGGCCAACGTCAAGACAGAGATTACGCCAACAACTGTAAGTGCTGTTTTGGCTGCAGCACTGATGAATAACTTAACCATTTGTAATGGGCTTTTAGACTCCGACCTATCACGGTTAGCTTCATCGAGATCTTTCCTGGAGTCGTGGTTGTGGTTACCAGTTATCCCATTTTGAGTGAACTTCCGTGCAGATGGCAAGTGTGCGCCATAACCCTTGTCTGACACCATGGAACGAGAAGGTCTGCTTGGGTATGGGGGAAGTAGAAGATCGTTGTTGTCTTCTACTGTTTCAGAAACAAAAGCAATTGCCTCGTGTATGACTTGGAAGTCCTTGCCTTTGTACCCTTTCAGTGTCTGGAGCAACTTTTCTTGGCTATAACCAATCTCAGACAGAGCTGCTTCTTTCTCATACCATTGTTGCTCTTGTAGTGCCTGAACATTTTAATTTGAAGGCAATAAGGTGGAGGACATAACTCAATTACTCAAATGCACAAACATAGAAACAAGAGGAATCTTATAAAAGCCATGTTGTATAATTAATGTATAAACAATAATAATATAATCAGCCAGGTGCTACAAAGACGAGATTCTTGGCATCTCACCCCGCAGGGACGGGAACAACCTTTGGGCTTTAGAGTTACCAGTCTTTTCATCGGAATTTCGACTGACAAAATGCTGGACCAATCTATCCATTAACCCAAGATTAAATCCTTCATCCAACATTGTTAATAAGTCAATCTACTTACATTAAGCGAGTGACGTTAAGCCTTCACTAAGGGCAAATGAATATTGTTAACAGGAGAATAAGTCTCCCCTAAAATTGACGGATCAGATTTCCTTGTAATTACAAAGGGCACCTTCTGACTTCTCATGAAATAAAAATATCAATACCAGTGCACCAATAGACCCATATAGCCTTTATAATAATGACAAAGAATTTGTGACAGGCCAACTCACTAGTGATATTGTCCGCTTTGGGCTTAGGCCCGCACGGCTTTAAAACGCGTTACTAGGCTCTAAGGCTTGTTTACTTATATACCCAACAGCTCTCCCGTGTTTTGTCGGTGTGGGATTCGCCTAGGGTGTCACATACACCCCCCTTAGGGACTCAGCGTTCTCGCTGAAGTTTGCCCCCACCGTCGTTAAAGGTTGCACGCGGAGTCGCTGATACCATATGTAACAGCACAGCCCACTCGTGATATTGTCCGCTTAGGGCCTAGGCCCATACGACTTTAAAACGCGTCACTAGGGTCTAAGGTATGTTTACTTATATACCCAGCATCTCTCCCGTGTTTTGTCAGTGTGAGATTCGCCTAGAGTGTCACAAAATTAATGCTAGCCTCCTCACAGAAGATTAATACTTATTTTAGTGGTAGTTCTAAAGCTTATAAATGGCATTACAATCATCAGACATTGATCGACCATCGTAATGTTTTATCAAAAGATTAATTCTGCATCTAGAAATGGTACTGGACAAGGTGCACTGCAGAACAATACAATCAAGCACATGCTACAGCCCCAAGCCCAACATGCCACAACAAGAGATAATTTAAGAATAACAATCTGAAATTCACATGAAGATTTTTCCAAGGAATTTCAAACTCTTTGATGAAAGCCAGTGATGACACATTCAAACCATGGTGCTCTTATTCTGGAAGCAAAATGTAATTCCCCTTACAACATGGTGATATCACTTTTCGGTTGACCATACATAGGGAACTTGCTTGCACATTAGATAGGATCATACGGTCACTTGAAACACACTTGCCTCCATGACAGAATGACTAGGAATTCCTGTCTAAATGAGCAATGTTTTGCAGACACATTACACTCAGAAGTTACTTTACTATTATTTGATAGTAATTTTAAGCAATTTAAAAATAACGTGAAAAGAACAAATTTATAATGAGAAATATCAGAAGTTAGACTAAAAAGAAAGAAATACCCAGTTTATTTAATAGATATCATCGCCGGAACCCTTGTTAAGCAGTTGCGGATTTAAACTTCCCAAAACACCTTATCGGAAAGAAAAAAAAAAAGAATATCAACTCTACGTCAAAACAACAGATGGATTGTGGGGTTTTGCAAACTAAGATTTGCATTTCTCATGTAGACTAGAGTGGTCAGACTGTTTTATCGCAAATGTCACCTGAAATGAGGTATCTGCTTTACCTACATTAAGACTGCTAGGAACCAGCATTCATAATGCTTGTGGAATCACTTTCAAAAGTCAATAATATTAGGGAAAGGTTGATCAACTTACATTTTAAGGGGTTGGTGAGTGCATAAGATTTGTTTTTCAATATCTTATTTCTACATCTCAATATCTTTAGTTTCAAATAGAGATGAGAAGATCATAATCTCTCTCTATAAGGAAGATCTTCAAAAAGTATTTCCACAACAAGCATGGGTTTAGGGAATTGACATTCCATTCACTATTCACTGCGTTCACTTTGCTTGAGGACGCAAGGGTTCAATTCCCATCTACAGCTACCATCCCCTTCCCATTCCCCTATATTCTATAGGCGCATCTGTCTCTTGAATACATAAGTAGGAGAAAATTAAAAAAATTCCCCTCAAATGTGAATGGGGTTGCATTCAAGAGAGCTGAGAATCCTATCTGTATTATCCGGATCTTGAGCTCTGGTAGTTTTACAACATCGTACAGTCATAGACTTTATCATATCAACATTAGGCAGCAAAGCAAACAACTTTACTCTCGTTTACCTCATCTAAACTTTAAACCCGATATGTCCGCTTATCTCACCGACCACATACTACTGTATCCATTTAAGTCTACCATTATGCCTTAGTCCACATAACAAAAACAAATCTCCAAACTCTAAAAATGCAAATAATAGTAACATGCAACAGTTTAGCAAGCAGATATATAACGGAGTATCAATCCTGCCTATCAAAAAAATTGTCAATTCTAAAATGCCATCCATTTGTTGGAACAAAAGAACTAAAATGCATGCTAATGTACCAAGACAGAGAAAACACTTTTTATCCATTTCTGTCTAGAAGGCCTCATATCCACTCCGTCGAACAAATCTAAACTGTGTTTAATCCATCTAATGCACCACTACGTATCTACTTAATCTCACAAACGCAAACTTCTACCAAACTTCAACATTAGGCTAACCATCAGATATGCAACCCAACTTCAGCTCCAAAAACTTTAAGCAAAATCCTGCTTCCAAATGCATCATCAAGAGGACGAATGAAGTATATTTCAAGACCAAAAATAAAATTAAAAAAGGACCTCAACAAGAGAAATACGTAAACACACGGAGGAAAATTTCCTAAAGTAAACATACTCATAGCAGTACAGATAAACCAGACTAAGAAATCCCTAAGGGAGTTAGAAAATGGAGAGCAAATCAAATGAAACTTCTATTAAGGTGGAACCCTAATTTGGGCGCCGCTTTGCTTATTAACTCAAGAAAAGGGACAATTTTGCAAAATTCCGAGTAGCATGAAGACATACTACGCCTCAATCTCAAACTAATTGGAGTCTGACTATATGAATCCCCTAAATATATTAAGCTCCATTTAGGCCCCATTATATACACATTTAGAAGCTGAAAAATAAAATAAAAAAGAAAAAGATGAAGAAGAAGAGACCTGCAAAGAAGACACCTGGGCTTCAAGTGATTCAAGAGCATCCTTAATCTTCAACAAACAATCCACTGCTTCATCGTCCTCTTCAGCCTCAGGGTTTGTTCCATTTGCAGATTCCACTTCTTCTTCATCTAATTTCTTGGATGCTTTGTGAATGCAGTTTGTAATCTCTACTCTCAGCTCAGAGATTCTAGCCAGTACTAACCCTATTCTGTCTTCATCCATACTAACCTAAAGATTTCAACTATGGCTTCTGAAAAATGAAAATCTTGATGAATTTTTGCAAAAAGGGGTTTCTGTAATAGGGACAAACAAGTGCCAAGAAAGTGCCAAAATGTGAAATACAAGTGATTGTGGTGCTTTCTTGAAGCCTAAAGAGATGACATTAGGAACTTTTTTCCTGCTGGACTCTATAAACCTCGAAACCTCCTCCTAACAAAGTAAAACAAAAACAAATTATGCATTTGTCTGTTTTGTCCTTTACCTTATATTGAAAAATCTCCCATAAATATTTGATTTTGGGAAATTAATTTTGTGGTCAGGATTACTCTCCTCGTTGTTATTTATTTTTCATTTGTCTTTCTTTGAATTTAAATGAAGAAAGGAGACCTTGGCGCAATTGATAAAGTCGTTGTCACGTGACGTCACATGTTCAAGCGGCGTAAATAAACCATTACAATTGGTGTTGATCAAGCTTTGTGCCGTCGATCTCTAGAATATTTCGGCGGTGATAAGTACGATGAAAGAGGAGATGGTTAGGTTGAGTTTATGTTTTGTCTGAATGGTTACAAGACATGTTATATTTGTATAAGAGATGGGTGACCCGGTTTCATATGGGTTTACTTTGCATTGGGCCTGAATGATGACATTAGCTTTGGGCCTTGGCTTATTTCAGCTGTGACTCAATGTTTTGGCCTATATGCATTCCAGATCATGGTCAAGAGATTAACTATTGTGGTTATCATTTTGTAGATAATTTTATCCTTCCTTGTATTTATCTGATAGTGGTCAGACATTAGGAAATAGGATACTACCACTTGACAATAATTAGTTATAGCCAGATTCCTTTCTTGTTATATTTATACGTGCACCCTGTACAATGTATTTTCTCTCTGCTTCTCATCCTGCATGACAAGTGAGTAAGCCTAACCAATAGAGGGTAAAGGGGAAGACAACAGTATGTTGCTTCTGACTCCAATGAAAGTCTCATTTAGACCTGTTGAATGATAGAGGATTTCCAGGAAGATATTCTCCATATCAAGATTTGATCCTCTAAGATTTTAGAGATAATTGTTGTAATCTAGAATATCAAATTCTGATTCTTTTTTTATTTTATTCTGTATAATCCCAGATTTTATGGGATTTAGATGATTCTGTTTTTAACCTCTTCTTGTATATAAAGCCATGTATATGACATTCAAAGACATGAATGAAATTATTCAAGTTTCTTACTCTTTCCACATGGTATCAGAGCGTTAGACTTATTACTCTCGATTTTTTTTCATTCATCCATCTTTTCATCACATTTGTCCTCTTTATCCGCCCAAGGGTTGAAACCATTTGAAAACCATGTTCGAAAAGAGTACTATTGCGAATATTCCAGTCTCTGAAAATATTTCTGCCACTATATGCTTTACAGTTTCAATTGGAGATTTACAAAATATTCAAGCCTCTTATCGGTTGAATGGGAAAAATTATCTAAAATGGTCTCAGCTTGTTCGTTCCTTTCTAAAAGGTAAAGGAAAATTAGGACATCTCCTCGGTACAGGACCATCCAAAGAAGATCCCAAGTTTGATGCATGGGATGAACATGATTCAATGGTGATGTCATGGTTATGGAACTCCATGTTCCAGAAATTAGTGATACTATTATATTTCTGAATACTGTTAAGAAAATTTGGGATGCCGTGAAGGAGACATACTCTAAAGTTCATGATGCTGCCAGGATCTATGAAATAAAAACAAAATTATTTGCAACAAAACAGGGAGCTCGATCTGTCACAAAATATTCTAACCTTTTACAAGGGTTATGGCAAGAGATGGATCACTATCAATGCATTCAAATGCGTTGCACAGACGATGCTGTAATTTTGAAGATTTATTAAAAAAGAAAGAATTTATGATTTTCTTGCAGGGCTAAATGTAGAGTTTGATGTTGTACGAGTGCATATTTTAGGGAAAGAAGATCTGCCATCATTGAATGAGACAATGGCCATTATACGGACAGAGGAAGGACGGAGGAGTGTTATGCTTAAAACTCAAATAAATGAAGGATTAACTTTTATGACAAAAGGGACAAATAAAAATGAGTCTGAAGTTTCACAATTGGAGAGCACCGTCAAGCCCGCAAGTTCATTCAAACCGCTTGTCAACAGGGACAACCTTTACTACACTTACTGCAAAAAGTACCGGCACACGAGAGAGAGATGTTGGAAACTCAATGGTAAACCTCCAACCAAAAATACTTTTGACGCAAAGCAGGCACACATTGCTAGCAGCCCTCAGATTGATAAAACAAAATCCATTAGTCCCAGAATTTAACAAAGAAGATATTGAGAAATTGAAGACACTGCTGGAATTTCTGGAGGTATCATCTTCGGCAGGTAGTTGTTCAATGGTCTTTGCAGGTATTTCTTCCACTTTTTTTGCTAATGTTAGAGATAAATTTTCTCCAATGTGGGTGGTTGATTCCGGGGCAACTGATCATATGACTTGTTACTCCCATATCTTTATATCATATTCACCTTGCCCTAGCTATAAAAAAAATAACTATAGCCGATGGTTCAATTATTACTGTAGCTGGCCAAGGAGACATACAACTGAGAAAGTCTTTGATACTTAAGAATGTTCTTCATGTCCCAAAGTTATCTGCAAATCTCATTTCTGTCCACAAAGTCACCAAAGATTCCAAATGCAAAGTAACCTTTTTCTCTTCATATTGTGCATTTCAGAAACAGGACACGAAGGAGATGATTGGGCGTGCTAGTGAGAAATGTGGTCTTTGTTTTATGGATTTCCACAATGGGGGAGATGAAATTAAGAATTCCTTATCTAGTTCATTCTTTTTTGAATCTGTTATGCCAATAAAGAGAGAGTTTGGCTCTATCATCGTCGCTTAGGTCATCCTTCTTTTTATGTAATCAATCTAATGTTTTCATCTTTATTCAAAGATTTGGTTGTTGAGTCTTTTCATTGTGAAGATTGTGAAATTGCAAAACATAAACGTGTTTCATTTTCAATAAGCAACAAAAGATGTCAGACTCCATTTTCTCTTATTCATAGTAATGTTTGGGGGCCCTCTTCCATTCCTGATATTTCCGGTGCTAGATGGTTTGTGTCATTCGTTGATGATTGTACAAGAGTAACGTGGATCTATTTGTTAAAGCAAAAATCAGATGTTAGCCACGTTCTTCCTACCTTTTTAAATCTGGCTAAAACCCAATTTCATGTGATAACTAAAAGATTCCGTTCTGATAATGCCAAGGACTACTTCAATCAAAACCTCTCTATTTTCTTCAAAAAGGAGGGAATTATTCACGAATCTTCATGTATCAATACTCCTCAACAAAATGGGATAGCGGAGAGAAGAAACGGTTTGTTACTTGACATTACTAGATCACTATTGTTTCACAAAAGGGTTCCAAATCGGTATTGCGGGGAAGCTGTCCTAACTGTTGCATATCTTAGTAACAGAATACCATCAAGAATTCTGAATTTTAAGAGCCCACTTGATACTTTTAGGAGTTTCTTCCCGAATTTCGAAAATTTCAGTAAATTGATTCCTAGAATCTTTGGGAGTATTGCCTATGTTCATATTCATTCTCAGAATAGAGGCAAATTAGATCCGCGTGCTCTTAAGTGTATTTTCATTAGATATTCTCCTACTCAAAAAGGATATAAGTGTCACCAACCATCAACCAAGAAGTTTTTTGTTTCAATTGATGTCACATTTGATGAAAGTGAGTCATTTTTAAAAAATGCTTACATTCCGGGGGAGTCATTGGATGGAAAAGGATCTCTAGACTTATCACTACTTGATTTGTCTATTCCTAGCCATGAGAAATCCTTATCTGTGTCCTTGCCTGAGTCACCATCTCTTCACTCATCTGAGTCTCTAAATCCTAATGAACCTATTGAGTCTTCTAATCTTGATATAGATAAAGGAATTCAAGAAAGTAATCCACCATTGCAGGTTTATTCCAAAAGAAAGAGGCTAACTGATCAAACTACTCAACCAAAATTATCTCCTCATGTTACTGCTCCTAATACCTATTCTGAACCTGGTGAACCATCAGAAACACCAAACCAAACTGATCATGAAGAAGAACATAACCAACCAAATGACCTTGACCTTCCCATTGCACTTAGAAAAGGAGCCAGAACCTGCACACAACACCCTTTGTGCCTTTCCTTGACATATCAAAACCTATCCTCGAGCCATAAAGCTTTTTTCAGTAACCTCCACACAATTCCTATTCCAAAAAATTTGTCTGAAGCATTAGGTAACAAAGAGTGGGAAAAAGCTATGAAGGTGAAAATGGAAGCATTGCAGAAGAATAAAGCTTGGGAAATGGTGGAATTCCCAAAATGGAAAAAGCCGGTAGAGTGTAGATAGGTGCTTACCGTGAAAAACTTAGATGGGTATATAGAAAGATTTAAACCACGTTTGGTAGCAAAGGGTTACACACAGACCTATAGAATTGATTATTTGGAGACTTTTGCCCCAGTGGCAAAAATGAACACAGTGAGGATCTTATTGTCATTGGCTACGATTTTTAATTGGAACCTACATCAATTTGATGTTAAAAATGCTTTTCTACATGGAGATTTATATGAGGAGATCTATATGGAGGTACCATATGGTTTTGAAAGCAAGAAGGGAATGATATGTAGACTGAAGAAGGCACTCTACGAACTAAAGCAATCACCCCGTGCATGGTTTGGAAGATTTACAAAGGTTATGATCAAGCTAGGCTATCGGCAGAGTCCAGGAGACCACACCTTGTTCATAAGGCACTCAAAAACAAGAAAGGTAACTACTCTACTAGTCTATGTAGATGATATCATAGTAACAGGGATGATTCAGAGGAGATACACAATTTGAAGAATTGCTTACTGATAAGTTGGGATTTTACCATGATTATACCCCTTACTTGCTATTGCTTTTGTTACAAATTGCCACAAAATAGTCCCAAAGGCTTACAAGTTGCGCTTGATTGCAGGTTTGAGCGAAAAGATGACAAATGTCAAAGATCGGCTCAAAACGGAGTGAAACCTGCCAAGTGTCAAGAACAAGTGAAGTGAGGAACAGGAAGACCTAGCGCGGACTGCACTGATATGCCACGCGGCCGCGCTAGGAGATTCAGAGAGGGGTAAATTGAGGTGCAAGCCACGCGGCCACGCCCCATTTCTGCGCGGTCCGTGCAAAGGGAAGTTCAGAGAACCACCAGTGC